TGTATGAAATAGGATGCAGACGGTCAAGCGATCCCCAGACTGATAAGTAACTACTGTTAAGCGTGGACGCTTGGAACTCCAGAGTAAGCGTTGCCGGCTTTTCCGGTGGGAGTACATTATGCTCTTTTCTCGAAAGTTCGAAGGTCATATCGGTTCTGAAATACCGCATGCGATAATTTATTACATAGGTTAGTTGTACAAAGTTCTTGTTAAATGGTACAGTGGTGGAGTGTTAATTATTCTCATCTAAATGATGATTGACTATATCTTGGGGAATTCTCCATAATACATGCTATAGAGATCAAAAATAAGGCCGGCAACGCGTTTGTGACTCCCGAGTTGCATACGTTCATGGGCAGCGGTGGTCGCTTTCCATCAGGTGACCCGTCTGCTCGTCTGCCCCCTCTAACATAAAAAAAGCAGAGTAAAACAACACGTACAAATGTAATATATTTATAATTATAATAATAGTAACTTCAAACATCTTACACAAGGCCGTCTGATCCAGAACTAGGCAGAGCCTGTACTATGGTAACCGCACTACTGATGAACATACTTAGGTATATATTTCTAGACACAAACATATTGTAGATTATTTACTCCCAGATACAGAACAAACGAATATGCTTATCACACAAACATTTGTCCTGGGTGGGAATCGAACCAACATTTTGTTTTTTTTTTTAATAAAAAGAAAATTCACTTACCTATATAGAATACATTTCTCAACCTTTGACACAGTTTCAGCGGTATTAATATTTTTTCTTTATTAGAAGTAGTACATACTCGTACGTACTACTCGGACTTCTAATAAGGAAAAATTAATATAAATTTATATTTGCAACTACATCAATATTATTACAAAACGTATTAAATTCTATAAAACGGATAAAATGTAACTTTTTACTTTTGAAATATGATTTTAGTCTGACAAAACTGGTTTTAACAGTACAAACATGTCTCAGGTAAAAAAAGCCCGACCCTTTTTTTAAAAAGGGTTCGCTCCTGAAGTCCAAGATGACATGTGGCTACAGAACGATGGCTGTCCCGCTCACTATGCTGTTAGAGTACGAGAGCACCTTAACACAGCGTATCCAAATCGGTGGATAGGACGCTTAGGTCCAATATTGTGGCCACCGCGCTTGCCGGACCTAAATCCCCTGGACTTTTTTTATTGGGGTTACCTGAAAGAAAATGTCTACAAGGAACAAATCACCTCTATTGACCACTTGAGGACTAGAATCCAGACAGCGGCTAGGAAAATCAGCGAGAGCGAGTTTGCTCGACGATTTAAACGGTCGTTTATTCGACGTTGCAGAGCATGTATAGCTGCGAATGGGGGCCATTTCGAGCATTTGGTCTAATTTTTACCTTGTTTGTAATCATGTCAAAGAATAATAATAAACGATGACTAGTATGACTTGTTTTTTTTAATGCCTTGTTCTAATTTACAAGTTAGATCAAGATCACTCTGTAACAGTAGTAAAAAATTGTTATTTTAAGTCTTTTCCAATTAAAATTGCAATATTTTTTTTATTAATGGGATGGCAAATCGTTTTAAAATCTGTGTTTAGTAGGAATATTTTAAAATGGATTGGCACTGACAGTGTAGTTACTTTTTTTACAAAAATCATAAGTATTAACGCAACTAAATTTTAAAATGTATTTTAATGAAAATCTTCTTTTCTTCAATTAAAATTGGATATCTTTTTGTTAAACAAAAGGATCTGCTATTGTGATACCATTTTGAAATTGGTATTTAGTAGGCATATTTTTAAATGAATGGGCACTGACAGCTTAGTACGATTTTTTACAAAAATCGGTCTTGAATTAGCATGATATGCTAAAAATTTGGGTTAAAAGTAGAGTGAAACCAATTTTTTTCTTCAAAAGCTTTAAATTTACATTAAAAACATGTTATTTAACGACAGCTCTAGTATTCAGCAGTAACTACCAGTAATCAAAATGAAAAAATAATGGTATTTGTTAAAACTACAACCAAATTTGTAACAAGAGGTACACATATCGTAAAAAAATTTAAAAAAAATATATTTCCGGAACCTTTGGACAAAAATGGATATCGAATGGTTATTGGAATATATATATGGAATATGGTTTATCGAATCCTTAATGGCGGACCACTATTTACGCCACACCCTGTATATCAAAGCATGATAACTGATGATGAGGTGTCTCATTGAACTGCAACATAGTAGCAATATTTCAAGCAGATCGGTGTCTTATATCTATAATTCGAATTGGCCGTTGTTGAAAACTCAGAGCCAAGTAACCGATATTATTTATTTATAGTCGAGTGTTGTATGTTCGATCGCCACATGGGACAACACTTCGTTGTTGTTCTGTGTCTGGGTACTCTTTGTGTCCGTTTCATTCCTAAAGCGGGTGGTGTGTTTAAAGAAAAAAATACATTGCATAAGGTGTACTTAATGCCATAGACATTTTCTTGCAGTCAATCTTTAGGTGATGCAGAGCTGCGTGTCATTGTCATCATCGTCATCATCATCATCATCAACAGCCTTTAATAGTCTGGACATAGGAGGCTTCCTTAGAAAGGAGGCTTTGGCCTACTATACCACGCTGGCCAGACGGATTGGTATAGGGTTTGTGTCAAGTTTTCCTTTTCGCTTTTACGACACCCACGGGATGAATGGGGGTGGTGACAATCCGTATTCTTAATCCGTCACCACACGAGCTGTGTGTAGCAGGTGTACAATTAGAGCAAATTAAATAAATTGATATTTCTTGCAAGTATTATACTACATAGATACACAACGTATACATATTTATAATTTGTACGTACTATATAATATAATAAATATAAAAAAAACATATACATATGTGGTGACTTCCACATACCATGAAACAAAATCCTACTACAGCGCCATCTAACGGAGTAACCGCTAAACCTGTATCGCAATATGAACAATTCTCTCGCCAATTGGCATGTATATAAATTCCCAACATCAACCGTTGAGCCGCGGTCCTTCAGATACGATCACCTCGCCTGGTTTGAGGATCCTCCCTTAGTTTTGGAGGAACATGAACCCGTTTCTTCGCACATACATATACATATATTGACTGCCTGGGTGGTGCAGTGGTAACGTCTGCAACTGCTGTGCTGAGTTCTCAGGTTCGATTGACATAAATGGGTCGGACATAAATGTTTGTATGATCTGAAAATATTTGCTTCGAAGTTTGGGTGTTTTCTACGTATGATATGTATGTATTTACAAAAAAGTAAACAAGTATTCTATCAGTCAATCTATCTTTCATGGTACAAGCTCTGCTTTGTTTGAAACTAGATTGCGTTGTGTGTTAGACATAACAAAACAAACTATTAAAAATTAATAGTTAGTTTAGCAAAATTAATGATATAACTAGACATAAAAAAAAACCATATCACTGCAGTACTTCTAAGTGCGTAGTACGTATCCACTTATAACAAAAATTTACTAGATAATAATTACGACGCATATACCGTATCAGCTACTTTAAAATTATTCATTATCTCATTGTGATTGCGTAAATGTAAAAAAAAATGTCCTAGTAACCTTAACACACTATTGTATTTTATCATTAGAGACATGATGTACTACAAATAATGAATGCGATCTTGTGATTAGATTAGCATTAGAAGTGTCACAGTTTAAAAAAAAACTTGGTCAAGTCCAAGATCTGAATTTTAGAGATCCCTTGTCTTTATATACATACTATCTGACCCGGCAAACGTTGTTCTGTCATATACATTTTAATCAAAGAAATAATTAGATATTAAAAAGTAATTACTTAATCCTAATCACGATTAAAAAAACTGGGAGTGTGAAAAATACTTTACGACTTATTCGCATGCCTGTCAAATTTATAGAACAAAAATCAATAAAATCGATCTAGCCGTTTCGGAGGAGTGCGACCACAAACACCGGGATACAATATATTAGATATACATGTCTATGTAGAGAGGTAGACTCGTATATACAATTTAAATGTCGCGTTTTAGTAAAATATAGTCATATTTTTGGGTCAAGTAGTATAGACCTAGTATGGATGTTTATTTTAAACCGCCTTTAAAAGGAATGAGTTTCATTTGTGAACCAATTTAAAGGTTTTTTTTATTTGAGAAGCTACTGGGAATACTTGAGTAATAAGTACTCGGAAACTTACTGTTTGAACTAATTCAAATTTGAAGGAAAAATATTACCAAGATAAAGGAATGAAGAAATATTTTTTTTTAACAAAGCAGAATGCGTTAATCGGTATTCGTCTGGTCTTAGCAATTGATACTTTAATGCGAATAAAACGTATATTATATATATATATATATATTTTATTTTCATATCTGTCAATACTTCAAGTTTGACAGAGATTGAATGTTGATTAACAGTAGACTGCCGCTTAGTATTTTAATGAGCAGAATACCTAATTTTAGTCAATTTATAATCAAGAATTAGCATTCTGTCACTTGATAGACCAATGCGACAGCAACAGCAACTGGTCTTAACATACTCAAGCATATTAAGGTTAAAAGGGATTAGTAGGTAGAAAAAAATATATCCGTAGGTACTTAAAGATATACACGTACCTACCTACTTATTCGTAAATTTACTGTCGATTTGTCCACCCAAACGTTACCTATAAGAGAATGCCCCGTAGCGATGAGGCTGCAATTTACCCATATTCATCTATCAACATCTATTATTACGAAAAATAAAGATTCGGTGTGCAACGAAGTCCATTCTATTCTATAACATACTCTACAGAACCCTTAAGAAAATTACAGATATAATTAAAAATCTCACTGAGCCCTTTATCAATGAAGTACAATTCCTAAACACAAAGACTAAACTAAGGTTCAGTTATCAGTCGAGAGCGACTGAAGGTCTCCTTATCAGTTAAATTATATTGACCCTAATTATCTTTTGTAATTTTACAGGTATAAATGTTCAATTTCTCGTACTGCCAGTTAATTGTGATTCTTCATCATGTTGTCTTTAGTTTTCTGCCTTGCCCTTATTAGTTGTGTTGGTGAGTTGTTTTTTTTTTGTCATTTTATTACTGACACTTTTATTTTTGTACGTTGTCATGGAACTAGAAATATTTTTCACATAATTATTTTTACACCCTTAATTTAATATTTTCAACTTGTAGTAATTGAAAAAAGGTTTCTTATTAAAAAAAAACAAAAATTTTCAATCAATAAAATGTAATGAAAACTAATAGTAATTTTAATATTTATAATTGTTGTGTTTATGCAGGTATTAAATATAAGGGTGAATGCTATCTTGTTTATTAAAAATACAGTCGTACTAAGGGCAATATGTATTAAAATATTTTTAGTATACAAATTATGACGCTCATGTCGGCAAATTTGTATCCAAAATTTAATTTTAAATAAAGGGATATTTATTTCTTGCTTATAATTTATTTTTTATATTCTAGTGTAATTATTATTTTTAAATTTTATTTAATATTATCAACGGGACTGATGCCCGGTAAAATTCAATGGAGTTTATGTTGCATCCTTATGTAACAACTCTGTATTACTTTTAATGAAAAAGCAAAAAACAAAACCACACATAAATTATATTTTCAAAATCTTTTTTCTTATCCCTTACTTCGCTGCGCTAAGGCAATTTTAATCCTGAAAACGCCCATTACCTTATTTTCGTCTTACTTGTTGAATTGCTCAGAAGACATTTAACGTCTCATGCCAATGTGTTCTGAGCTTGAAAAATGCTGTTGTAACTTCATCAATCATTATTACTATTAAAGGCTGTTGCCTTTAATAGTCCACTGCTGTACATAGGCCTCTCCTTAGAAAGAAGGTTTTGGCCTACTATACCACGCTGGCCAGACGTTTCCCATCTCTTTACAGTGCTGTTGTCCTCCGTAGTTTGCTCCCTTAGTCGAATATTACGACACCCACGGGATGAATAGTATTCTTAATCCGTCACCACACCACTTGTAACTTATAAGAGTAAACTAAAATATTTCATCTAATTTCGCGTATAAGATCAAAATATAACAAAAGTTAGAAATTTTCTTTAATCATGATGTCATACGCTTACGTCTATATCTTGAATCGAACAGAGAATTGAACATAGCCAATTATACAATGCCTACATTTTGCCGAAAATAATTTGAATCCTATTTACGTAACAAGTGGCCCAAGGCCAAAGACCTGCTGAGGCACCATGTTTTGTCTAAGATATACCGGTTTTATTATTTTAAAATAACAAAACCCATGTTGTTGAAGTATTCAGTAAAAGATTTTTATGTTTTTGCAGTAACAGCACCAACTATAAAATCCTTAGAAGAAATAAGGATAGTTGGTGGTGAAGATATTGAAATCAAAGATGCACCGTATCAAGTGTCTCTGCTCAGCAGAGGAACACATGCATGTGGCGGTGCTATCGTTGCCAGAGATATTATCGTAACAGCAGCACATTGTGTTAAAGGGTAAGTAATCTCTTCTCCTAATTACAAAATGTTACTTACAACCAAACTCTAAGTGATAGTCAGTTATAAAATATTAAGAGAAACGATGAAGCTTATGAAATTAAAGTGGCATTCTAATTTGGATGTTATTTCTTGGAACGATTAGGAACAGAATAGCATTGTACCATTAACGAGTTCCATCACACTATGAAAATAGTTTAGTATTTTGGTCAATAAGCTCTTGACAACACTCATAATCTCTTTTTATGGGCGGAGTCGAAATAAGAAGTCTCAAGGAGACTCTAAATTAACAAAGTTTTATAAAGTAATTTAATATTGAGAGTTTTTGTGTGTAAGAATAGTTTAAAGATGATGAAGAAGAGGATGAACTGAAATGCAAAAAACATACAAATTTCTATATTTCAGTGCACGTCCAAGCCAGTATCAAGTTCGCGTTGGATCATCATATAGTGGAAAAGGTGGTAAACTATATCCAGTAGGAGATCTAATTTGGCACCCTGCCTTTGACTTTTATAAGATGGACTCTGATATAGCCTTATTATGGTTATCAGAGCCATTGAAATTTAGTGAAGAAGTAGCTCCTATTGCAATGGCAGATGAAGGTGAAGAAATTACAGATGGTGAAGAGACTGTTGTTACTGGGTGGGGACATATCACGGTAAGTGCAACCAGACTATGATTTTTTGAGGCTGGGCCTTTAATGCATCATTTAAGGCCATCCTCAATATTTCACAGAAATATTTTTATTCATCTAGTGCAAAGTACGATGTAGAGAAAAGAATTGAAAAATAATGTTATTTGGACATTTTGAAACTATTATCCACAAAACTTATAAGGTGCCTTATGAGTGGGCTAGTACTATCTCGACTACAGTACTAACAACCAATCTAGGTAGAGACCTAGTGGAAGAGGCATAAGTCAATCATCAGGGTTCTGGTTAACGGCAACGCGTAAATTAGAAGAAAGACTAAATGTAAATTCAAAAGACTAAAACAAAGAAGAGATCCAATAAAAACTAAGAGAGTAACCTAAACTTAATTTGGATCAGTAAAAGAAGTAAAGTTTAATTGTATGGCTGTACTCGTGTGAAATAGATGGATAATAATATCTTATACATAATATAATTTTGAAAAGCATTTGTAGCTATGAAAGTACCTACCATTAAAACAAAAACAAAAAAATTTTTTTTCTAGGAAAGCGGTGGTTTACGATCAATGTTACAAATGGTTGCAGTGCCAAAAGTGAACGAAAAGCTGTGCATTGATGCATACAAGCCAGCCTATAAAATTACTAACAAGATGCTTTGTGCAGGAGTACCTGAAGGTGGAAAGGACGCTTGTCAGGTATATAACAATAGTATCTTATGCTAGTTTGTGAGTATAATGTTAGTATAGAGTTTTATTACACCGATTTTGAAAAGAGGTTAAGAAGTAAGTTAACCTGTGTTTTTCTGTTAAATCCTGGAATTTGACCAGAAATTATTTAGAGAATTCACTTCAATGGTTTTCAATTTTTACTTTAACATAAAAGAACAATACATTCTACATCGGTTAGCAGTTTGGATGTCAGTCCAAAGGTTGATTGATGCTTGAGGAAATTTTATTCTTTCAGGGTGACAGCGGTGGTCCTTTGGTCCATAACAACAAATTAGCTGGAGTCGTATCTTGGGGATTGGGTTGCGCAAGACCTGATTATCCAGGAGTATACGCCAAGGTGTCAGCTTTAAGGAGATGGGTTGACAGTAACATTAGCTTCTTAAGGATCAGGCATTTGTTAAGAGTACCTGTTTAAAGTAATTGTAAAGATTACGATCGAATAATAAAATAAGTGATAGACCTAAGGCTCGTTACATGGAATTGTATTTTTTGCCTGGTAGGATAAAATTTTGAATGTACTGTATGTTATAGTTCGCATAATAAACGCAATGTCTTTATACAGAATTTTATTGCTTATAGCACAATTACCTTTTTTTTACTAAAAAACAAAGTTCTTTTTATAAATAATAAATAAATTTGAACTCCAGAATGTTGAAAATAAACGTGTTTACTGGTTCCTAAAACCCTTGCCTCCTATACTTCATCTTAAGGTCAAAGGTCAGGTAAAATCAATAACAGCATTAAGAATTATTTCTTATAATAAATAAGTACTCGTAGATGATATAACACTATTGCATTGGGCTAAACCTGTAAAAATAGTTGTTTTTAAAGAAAATAAATAAATAAATAATAAATAAAAAATCAAATTCAAAGGCCTGCAACTTACATGTGGCTTCTCAGTTGCGGGTGTCACTTAACAGCAGGTGATCCGTCTGCTCGTTTGTTCCATATCATAAAAAAATTGGTTTAGTGATACTGCTCAATCGTGTTCATAGGATCGAGATAATATAATGATAGATCCACAATTGCAGAAATTTCCGTGTGATGACGGATTAAGAATACGGAGTGTCAAAACCCCTGTTCATTCCATCGGTGTCTCGTAAGAGCCGACTAAGGGAGCAAACTATACAGGACAACAGCACTGCAAAGAAGAGGAAAACTGAAAAACAAATCCTAAGCCAAACCGCCTGGCCAGCGTGGTATAGTAGACTAAAACCTCCTTTCTAAGGAGAGGCCTGCTTTTAACAGTGGGCCACTAAGGGCTGTTCGTGTGATGTGATAATGTTCTAGAACGAGAAAATTGAAGTAAATTTTAAATAAGCTATATTCGTAAAATTTGTCATTCTTAGAGGTGGGACATTATGTTAAAATATACGCCCTATACCACACTAGCGGTGCTTTATGTGGATGGCAAGAAGAAAATATATCGAATATAATGTGGGTAGATAGATAATATTTATTTTAATACTATTGCGCTCATTTATTCAAATAAATAAATAAATTTCCGTATGTAATTTTTACAATTGTGCGCTAAATTTAGACAATATTACCAATATTGTCGTGCTAAAAGATTTTTCACTGAGACAATGAGGTCATTAACCTCATTGTCTCCATGAAGAATCTTAAGAGCGTTCCGCTTGTACTCAAGGACTTATAGATAGATAGAGGTTCTCATACTTAGAGATTCATTGAACCTTTTATAGTACATAGCCCTGTACTTCAGTGTAGTCAGTGTGTAAGATAACCAACTAAAACCGAACCCCGTCTCGGGTACCAGCAGCCGGGTGTACCCTAAAAAGGAAACCAATGGTAATAAATTACAACCTATTTTTTTCTAAATATAATTACACGAAAGTAAAAAAATAATAATTTGTATTTATTTATGTACCAGAAAACCAAGCCTTTTGCTTTATGTTTAATTCTTCTCACTGGAGTCAAGCGGTGAGGTGGTATATCGGACTCGAATCGATTAAAACCACACAGTGTTAGGTGATCAGATCTCTTACCGGGACTTTGGGTGTACCCTATCAAGGAAGTCCCTGTGAAAGTGCAAAGTCTAATATTAAACAGCGCTTACCAGTAACATTACAAACTGAGAAAATCACTATTCAATAGTTGTTAATTATTGTACATAAATTCCAATCCAGAACTCAGTTGCGAGTTACGATATATTATGATAATTTAAAATTACTGAATCTCTTTTAAATCATTCACATCCTTACTGATCAAAACAACAATGTTTCTGATGATGATGAACATTGTTTTAACATTTCAAACAACATTTTAATTTTACTCTGTGCTTTAAAATAGTAACCCTTTTATTTTTCAATTTACTTGGATAAATCAATTGCCAATTTTTTTGCCGCGCCTGCAATAGTTTGATTAGTGGCATGTTTGATTTCGAGTTGCATCATAGTATTTCGAGTCATATCATACCATCAGAGTTCGGGTATTTTTTGCTTCACTTTCCATCAGATGACCCTCTTCTCGTTTGGAAAACTAACCCCTTTTTTATTCTACAAATACTCTCCCATACATTTATGTACAATTTTTCAAGTACACCATAACAGTTTTCATAGCATAAAAAAATATATTTTACAACAGTTTGAAGTGTCTCAGCTGGTCGCAAAAATCTAGCTATTTTTTAATTTAACATCGACATGAAGAAGAAGACGACTTTTAGATTGTTTCAAACTCTGTTCAGATGAAAGATACAGTTTTGGTCTCAGAATACAAAATTGGTGTGAAAGTATAATATCAATAAGTCAATATTTGTCACAGTGAGTCAAAGAGAAAAAGTAGGTGACTGAAATAAATAAAATTCGGAATACGATTCAAATATACAAGAGTTAAAATACCGCTCTTTGGTACACGAAAGCAACGTATGCAATAAAATTTATTTACTAGCTTTCCTATAATAGTCACGCATGTTTTATTTTTGGAGTGCTGTTATGGAATAAAAATCTATACGTTTAATCTGACACTTTCTGAAATGAAAACGAGCAAAAATATATTTGAGTAACATTATCCGTTTTATTGATATTCAAAATTTTCTTGTTGCATCAGCAAACTTTGATAATTTGAGAGACTTATTGACAGAAAGAAATCGTCTGTTACATTAATCTTCTTACTCATTGACACTTAAATTAAAAATAAAAGTCCTTTTATATAAAAAAGCTGTAGTTAAATTATAGTGTTACCGTACAAAACCATACCAATTGACGTCAAAACTGTCGTATGTGGGGGTGCCGATGCAGTTCCTTGAGTTTACATACACACGCACACACACATACACATATTTATATTAATTTATGATCCAAATATAAAGTACTGCATTTTTGTTGGTCGGTAGCTCTCACAATAACACTACCGTCACAGTCGCGTTAAGTGCCAGCTGATGTTGCTGCCTATTTTTAATCTTAGTGTCTTATCTGCTTGTGATGTGATGTAACTACCGACTGTAACAGCTATAAATACTCGTAATTAATAAGTCATTGAGCTCTAAAGCACTTATTTTAGTTTCAATACTCAATATATTTATCGCATTCCACAATGTTTACTTAGGTGGGACTCAAATATAAGATCAGATCATCATGGACCCTGTCGGGCACAGCAATAGATGAGAGAGGGAGAGATAATACAAAGTAATAACGATAATCATACATCACTTTTTTATGTACATGCTTAATTTATTGATTGCTCAGATATTCATTGACGCTGTAATAGCATTTTTGTAGTAATAATTGTTTTAATTTATTTAAATATATATTTAATATGGTTTCATTTCTAATTTCTTCTTGTAATTTATTGTAAATTTTGATTGACATTACTTGAGTGCTATTTGAATGGATTTGGAGTCGGGATGAGGGTAGGTTTAGTCTAGTCCTATGGCGTAGTGTGTAGTTTTTTTGTTTATCCTCTCTTTTTGTAAACAGATGTTGATTTTTTCGTACGAATTTACATATTTCCAAAATATAAATTGATGGCAGTGTTAGAATGTTGTGTTCTCTAAAGTATGGTTTACAGCTATCGGTGTCCTCTATTTTGACCAGAATTCTAATTAGTTTTTTTTGAAGTGTGAAGAGTGTTGGAGCATCTGTGCTGTTACCCCATAATATGATGCCGTAACTAAACCAGTAATAAGCGTATGCGTAATAAGTAGTGAGAGCTTTTTGAAGGTCGGTGGTCTTTTTAACTTCGCGTAAGGCATATGTGAACTTAGAGATTTTAGATCTTAATTTCGTTATGTGAGATTTCCATTTGATGTGTGTGCCAATTGACAGGCCTAATAGGGTGAATTCGGGGACAACTTCTATTTTTGAACTATTTTATTATATGTAAAATTTATATCTAATGGGGATTTTTGATAATGGTGGAAGGACATAATTTTAGTTTTGGATAAATGTATTTCGAGGTTATGGTTTTTCATCCAATTTACGGTTTTGTCTAATGTTTTGGTTAAGTTTTTGTCTAAATTAGTAATATTCTGGCACGAGGTGAGGAGCGAGATGTCGTCTGCAAACAATACGCAAGGTCCATCTATGGTTTTTGGGAGATCATTGATATATATAAGAAAAACTAGGCAACCGATTACACTACCTTGGGGTATTGAGGCATTAATATTTTTTTTGCTTGATTCATTAATTTTTGCTTCATTAATTTCTTTGTTTATCATTTTACTAACTTTTGCATTTCGTTTTTACATTTCGTCACTCTATCTATCCAGGTTATCTCTTCCGTGCGAAATATCACGCGGAGTATCACACGAAAGCTTCACTTATATTTAAAAAAACTAATTAGAAGAAACATGAATCTCAGAATCAGAGTTTTGTGAATGTATATCGGAGCTACAGCTATAAAATTGTGATAAAAAAATATACATTGTTTTTTCTTAAAAGACAATTCCCGCATTAGGAATATATCTTGTGTCGCGGAGGACTATAGAAACATACATGACATGGACACCAAGAACTTCCAGACTCAGAACAACAATTTGTTGATCACACAAAGTGTCGCCCCTTGTGGGGTTTGATCCCACAACACTCGGCGTAGTCGGAAGCGGCGTGGCGACCGCTTAAACCACTACGCCATCCGTGCAATCATATTACAAGAATTACTATTTTATCAATTACTACATCAGGACGTTGTGCTTGGCAATATCAGGCAAGGTTTTCGTATTTCAGAATTTGTTACCTAAAAGCTAAATTACAATTATTAATAAATATAACAAAGGACAATGGCAGGTCCCCATACATAATTTTATTTGAACTGAAATGTTAGCGTTTAAATATCAAAAAATCCTTAACACTTGAGAATTTATTCTTGACCATTCTCATATCAAAATTACTTGCGAAAGAAGTCTAGGAAAAAAGATATTGGATTTTAAATGTTTCGAGGTTAAGTACTAACATATTG